ACAAAGTTCATTAATTTTGAGTGTTTTTCAATTTTGTGTTCATTTTTAGGCACATAAACTTAATTTAATTTTAAAACAATCTATTGGTCATATTAAGGAATGCAAGATATTTTTTATTATATTCTCTGAACTTTCATCATTTTTTTCAAAATCTATAAAAAGAGTAAATGCACTTGATCAATTAGTTAAAAAGAGATTTCCATCAGTCGCTCCAACTCGATGAAATTATAATAGTGGACCCATTTACAATTTACGAATAGGATTAGTCTAAAAAAGTTAAATTTTTTTAACTTTTTAACTCAATTAGATTAATTGGCAGTTGAAATAACTTAGCTTTTTACAGTTGATTTAAAATGGATCTATCAAGTTAATAACAAAAATAACTAAACATTAAAAAAATTTTATTTATAATTTTTAATTTATAAATCAATTTAAATTTGACTTTTAACAACCTAGCACATTTATCATGACAACCAAAAACATGATATGGCCCATTATCTATGTCTTCTTTTAAAAGTGCAACTTTATCATTTATAGGACAATCTATTTTCATACGATGTTTAATAGCATTTGTTACAGCAGACCTAGCAACAAATATTGAATAAATAATAGACAATAGACATTTTTTAAAATAACAAATAAATAAATAACAAATAAATTATGTGATTACCTTAGTTTTAATCTTTTTCTTTTAAGTTGGTTCTTAGTAATACTGGTACAACACTACCGCTTGAGCTTTTCCGTTTAGTCGCTATATCTACTAGTCTATTTAAATAATTTCGGAGTATGTGGTTGGCACATTCAATCTTTTTTACATCTAAGTTATTACCATAGGGTTTTGCTAACATTATTTTTTTCAGGACACTAGAATCTCCATCCCCAATAAGTTTGTGGTAAATTATATTGTGCATTGAAATACTCTGTCGAAAACCCTCAACTATTATATCAGCTTCCATCGCTGTACTAGTACCATTCCAATTTTTGTAACATAAATGTACAGGTGGGTCTCTATTATTTGCACAAGCTTTTCGACAAATACTGCAATATTTATTGCGAACTTCAATAAACAATACTTTTTTTGTTCGGTAACCTACAATACATGCCTAAACAAATTATTAATATTAAAGTAATAAAAAAATTATAAAAATATTTTATAATATATTATAATACTTACAACACCAGATGATGCGTTGTAATTACGTTTATAAGATCGTTTCGACCAGGCACCATCTGCCACAACAGTGATCATAGGAATACCATCAATATTTATGTCACCGTTTTCAACAGCAAGTCTTGCTTCTTCCTTACCAGCCAGCTCTATAGATTCCCATGCTGTATTTTCAGTTTGTTTGGATAAAACCTGATGGAATTTTTGATAAGTCTTATTGCTCATACATGGCATATCTAATATGGATGAAAATTGTTCTAAGTTTGTAAATCCTTGACCAGTATTTACTGTTGCAGTAACAATTGCAGCGTTAATAGACAAAGATGTTATTATGTCTGGAGGTTCGGAAAATATTACTTCTTTTTTTCTGCATAAGTTGCATTCAAAATGAAATTCAGAAAAAAAGCCTTTTTGTATTTCTGATTTGAAGACAAGATTTTGAATACTACAATCGAATAATTCATGTTTAATTGATTGTAAACTATTCAAAAAGTATTCAACATTAATAATTCTTCGACCAGTAAGAACATTTTTATTATTATTGTTATCCTCATCATCCAAATCATTGGGTAAAGACAAAGTGAGATTGTAACCATCACAACTATCATCCATGATAGTTTCTGGTAATAACGGTAAAAAATCGTTATCAAAACTATTATCAATTGGTAGCTTCTAAAAAAATTTTTTTATTAATTTTTACCTACAAAATACATAGCAAATATACATGATTTTGATGAATTTTGTCAATATTAGCACTTATAAACGCTTATAAAAAAATTTTGTGCCTATGTATTTTTATAATTTTTGAATGGGAGTTAGAACAACTTATGTGGACCCTTCTATTAAATTTTCAAGTATTTTGTCCGAGCTAAATGTTTTTTATCAACATTTATAAAAAAAAAAAATTAAAAAAATCGTATATTTTTATTTTTAAGGAAATTGAAAATTTCAATTGTCTATAAATAGCTCAATAAAAGTCAAAATACTTTACATCGATTAGTTTTTGAGTTATAGCAAAATAAAAATTTGATTTTGTCGTAAACTGGTTTTGCGTAAAAAATCCCGTTTTCCCTTATTTTTTTAGTGTCTTTCCCGACGCATTTAAAAAATATTGAAATTTTTTTACTTTTGACCCCCAAAGTACCAACTAGAGTCACTTTCCTTTCAGAAAAGTTGCTACATAAGGAAATCGAAGCATTTTTACTAACCCAAATCGTGTCGACAGACACAAAAATAAAATAAAAATACACATCACTGTAAAACCAATACATTCTTCACTCCGTTCAGAATCTAAAATGTGCAATTTAAAAATATCAATAAATAATTTATCGAAATTGTTATGCTATAAAAATGTTTTGTTGTATAGAGGGTTTGTGCCCAGTTCACCGACACCCGGTTTTTTGATCAAAAAATCAGTTCTTAATGTATAGAGCACCAACCATATCAATTTTAGATGTTCGTTGGTTCTGTAACAGTGTCAATGAATTTCCTTTATTTTTTCTTCTTCTACTTAACGGTGGCTTTTTTTTTTTGATGGTACAATTTGCCATGTTTATAATTAAATTTAAAACAATCAATAATTAAAACAAAAAACACAATTACTTATAACTGAAAACGTGTAAAATAAACGGGAAATAAAATAAAACGTGGTTCGTTATTGCTGTTTATTTGACGAATGACGTCGACCGTCGAACACAGAATTATATTTTATAATGTTTTGCATCAAGCTTCATTAGTTCAATTCATTCACAATAATAAATTATTTATATCGGTTATAATAATAATGTACCTATTTGTGTATAAAACCGGATATCGCATTATCGTAGAGCGCACATCTTATTCTTAGAAAAACCAGCCGAGGTGACTCTCGTACGCACACGCACAAGTCTGTACGCATGGTTACTGTTTAGGATTCGTAAAATTGTTCCTTCAAAAACCACTCGTTTTTCTTCAATCAGTCCGATCGTTGTATTGATGAGATAAAAATTCTGAAAATTTATTTGAATTCAGCATGAAGTTTACTTGATATCGGTCGGACCACTTTTTCAGTTGTACTTAAAAATGTTTTTTAAACACTACTACAAAATTTAATATTTATCAAAAAACTGAGATCAAATTTGTGATTTTTGAGGGCAAAATTAAAAAAATGTAATCCGACCGATCTCAAGTAGACTTCATGCCGAATTCATATATATTTTCAGAAGTCTTATCGCTTCAATACAACGATCAGAACAATTGAAGTTAAATAGGTAGTTTTAATGGAAAAATTGACTGGTACCCAATGGCCTTAATTGGCAGTTGAAATAACTTAGCTTTTTACAGTTGATTTAAAATGGATCTATCAAGTTAAAAATCTTTTAAGTTTTCCGTTTATACGTAAATATTAATACAAAAATTAAATAATCATGTAAAGTAAAATGGTCGCATACACTATAAATTAGATGTCATATAAAATTTTGTAGGTTGGGAGCCCACCTTTGGGTATTGAGTTCTGGATACAGAATGTTATGTATAAAGAATTTTAACTATAAAGATAATTAAATATGGTAGTGAGTGGCCCCTTGATGTACATTGCAGTGGCGTATATAGGTTTTCATTTCGAAGGGGGTCGATTATGTATTTGATTTTTGGGTGAAAGGGAAAGAGGAAGCACACTATTACGAAAAAAATTTTTTTAACACTATAAGACTTCTCGACTGTCTTTTTACACCATCAGAAAAATTAGAAACTTAATTTTTTTAATGATTTATTATTTTTTAAAAGTATAAAAACTACATTGTAATAAACAAATTTTTTATTAAAGTCACCCAAAATTCACCACATATTTTCTTATAAGAATAAACATATTTTATAAATATAAAATTTTAAATTATGGCATAAGCAACATTCTCAGTATCGCGACAAATTTTCGGAACCCCAGCATTAAGATGTATCCATATTAAAAATAACAACCTTTAACAATTGTGTTTTTCATTTCAGTGGGGTTGAAGCATAATAATCACGGACTGTAATATATCTGTGGGAAAGCAATGTAATAATAATTTAATTATGTCAAATAATTATGTTTGTGTTAAATGATATTTACGTTTTTTTTTTTTTTGTACAATAGATATTAAAATAGATTTTTGTCCACAGCGTTAGCACAATATAGTTTGTGAGCGTTGGCGATTATTATTATTTCATTATTCATTTACTCCGTATTGCAATTTATTTTTAGTATAGATCGACCGAACGCCGCGGCCGATCATATCCTGCCATTAGATACGATATCTAACCGATAACCGTACATCTTCCCTGACCATTTGATTATTATTGTAAATTATTTTTCGATATTACAAGTGAGTGCGCTATCTATTGAGACGTTGTGATATTAACTTACATGTTTCCATATCACCTATACCCGTGGGCTAGGTTAGGTTAGTTAGTTAGCTAGTATATTTAATCTATGATAACACAGTATTTTCTTTTTTTATTTATTTTTTCATTAGGTACATCATTAGCTTGGCGACGGTGCATTATGGAGCAATGCCATATCTGAGGAGGTGCAGGGTGTCTGCTCCCTCCTGAAATGTCTTCAATATTTTACAAATGTTTAAAATAATTATTTATTTTTAATACCAACATAAATGTTTTTAGTCTAAAATGACTTATGCCGGCCATACACGTTACGGTTTACCGGAGAGGTATACCTGCGCAGGCATGCCTGTGCAGGTATACCGGACGTCGTTTGTGTCTCCGGTGTACCGGAGAGGTCTTCAGTTTTTTCATGATGGCATGCCATACACCGTACGGTGAGGCTAGAAAAAATTGATTTTCGATCTTGCACCGGTCGCCTGTACAGGTCAAAAAAACTGCACAGGTCTATTCCCATACACACTACGGTCTACCTGCACAGGCATGCCTGCGCAGGTAGACCTCTCCGGTAGACCATAACGTGAATGGCCGGCATTAAGTTCCAATTAATCATTGACTGTTTTTAGATACTTTTACATTGTTTTATAATAATAATCATAAACTTCTAACCAACTCACGTATTATATAGAAATCTAAAGTGACAAAGTAATTTTGTTTATTTGATTTTATCATATTTTAATAAAAAATGTTTTAACCAAATATCAAAAGTCAAATTCTAAATTCAATAAAATTACAAAATACATATTTTGGATGCCCCCCCCCTCGAAAAAAATTTCTAGATACGGCCTTGTTATGGAGGAGGAAGTCCTAGCTGCAAGCTAGTGGTGCTATATGGCGGAAAAGTTCACTCATACGGCGGCAAAATTTAAATGGTCTTTAATTTTTGGACATTCCTTGTATAAATTAAATATAATATAAATTTTGTAAATTTGTTTTTGGTGTAAACTATCTATTTCACATTTTATTTTTTAATTTGTTCAACTAACGAATTATCTCAACAGTTGTCCATCGGCGGAACGTGATTTTTGTCGGTCCGATGTGCAGTCTGGTAAATTTAAATTATTTATTTCACACAACAATATTTATGTTAAATTAATGTTTAATTAAATATTAATGTTTATCAACGTATAAACAATGAGTTTTGTATGTAATAATCTTATACAATAGTCATTTTTAAGTTAAATGTGAAATAGATAGTACACACCAAAAACAAATTTACCGAATTTATATTAAACACTAATAATGAATAAATTGACATAGTTAAAAATTAAAATATGTCCGAAAAAGAATATTGATTTATTAATAACATTGGTTGAAAACCATCCAGTTTTGAAAAATTGTTGTTAAATTAACTTAAAATGCTTAATAAAAAGTGTTTACTACACGTCTCACGGTAAACATACAGAATATTAACTGTACGGAATTTACGTACATGTATAGAGCAGTTGTTTTTATTTATTGATCATAAACGAATTTTTTATGTGTTTTCGCGTGAACAGATTATCCGTTTTTCAACCGATCCGTTTATGTCAACGGATAGCGTTAGGAAAGCGTAAGGTCGATCGCAAACCGTGGCCGGCCGCTCTACCTCCGTCGGTTATGGAGGCGATCGTCTGCGGTGCGAACGCAACGAGCATGTAATTATACGGCGGAACGCATGCCGCGCCGTTTCACGCGAACATGGCGATCACTAGAGCGCGTTGCGTCTCGTCTCGCGAACACAACGAAACATAACCTCGGAATATCGGTAAACCGCGCACAGGCACGAGCGTGTTGTCGTCGCACTTGCGTTGTTGCGCGTTTGCGTCAGTCGTTTCTGCTCGTTGTCTGCTGACGCGCTCTCTCTCGCCGTTTTCGCCGTTCCCGCGCAAGCTCTCGAACACACCGTTACCGATTGACCGGCGCACGAACGCCCGGACCGCCGTCGTCGGCGCAACGTGAGTAATGCGTAGCGAACGAACATTCGTCCACGCCGTTTGCACCGGCGTCGATTTCAGCCGTTATTGCAATAATCGTTGCTCGTATTCTTGTTTTTTTTTTTTAAAATACCTATTTGTGTCTTTCCTAGGACGAGTTGTAAAATATTATATACGCTGGGCTCGACACGTTTCTTCATCGTCGACCATGGAACAGCAACAGTCTGTCAACGAATTGAACAACTTGCTCCGGAGTTGGGACGAGGAATCGACAAATGTCGGCTACAACCCCATACCAACGTTGACCAGGTACTTAATACGAAATCGCTATCCTGTGGTGGTTTATTCATCCTTCTTCCATCTGTTGACGGTTTACTCTTAATTTTTGTCCAATTTGGGATTTTCTTTTCGAATGTTTGTCGTCGAAGATGTCTGACAATTTTTTTCAAACTTTATCCATACTTGGTGTTTTAGCTTTACACTTATTTTCATTACATATATTAAATTATTATTGTAAACGTATGTGATACAAACTATAGCTAAAACAAATTTTCAGCATTTTAATGTTTTATCAATGTTACATTTTCCAGGCTGTGTGAAATTTTTGAATTAGAATCAAAAAATTATATCAAAAAAGATCCAGATCCTTTTGATGATCGCCATCCTTCAAGAATAGATCCAACCTGTGCACTGGGCCAGATGTACAAGATTTTATTCCGTAAAGACGAATTAATGACTACAGTAAATATAATTATATCATATTATTTTGCTTAAATTCATTTTAATTTTTCATCTATGAATCATTTTTTAAATTTATTCAGTTAGTAACTGATTATCTAAAAGACGGTCAGTTGCAAAGACGAACCAAAGACTGTTTAGATCTTAATGTTGCTGCAAGCAGACTTGTTATAAATCTTATACCTGGTTTGGAAACAACTGTTGTTTTTGAAAGTGTAAGTAAAATATTTTTATTAATTTTTTTTTTTTTTTTTTAATTTGAAATAAATAATTTTAACAGCCTTCAAATGAGTCGCTTGTTCCAAGACTATTCAAATGGGCAGAGAACAGTCCAGAACCTTTGCAAACTTATGCAACTGGTTTATTAGCTGCAGCTATGGAGATAAATGATATAGCTGCTAATTTCAAGTTGGTTACATTATATAATTCTAATGAGATTTATATTTTTTGAGTATGATGTAATATTTTGTTTAGAGATGATAATAAAAGACTTGTTCCGATGATATTGGATCGTATTCACTTATACTATGCACAGTTATGTAATGAAAATAAACCTATTATTCCCAGTACAGAACCATCTTCATCTTTAAATAATCCTAATGATTGTTCTAAAAATGATTCTATTCCAATATCACCTGATAATTCACGTCCCCAACATATAAGTAAATTTGCGCAACTAGTTCTAAGTAATAAATTGAATGACCAAAATTTAACTCGTGAAGAACGGAGAAAATTGCTAACAAACGTTATTATTGAAGATCATAAAGCTTGTAATGGAGAAGTGCAATATTGTGTAGATTTGACTGGTGATGACGAACCAAGTATACTTATACTATTTTACTTTTTCTATTAAATATATTATTAATTATTTTATTTATTAATAATAAATTTTATTATTATTATCGTCAGTAGATAGTGCAGCTAGTGCAGCTAGTGCAGCTTGTGATGATAGTAATTCGTCTTGCATGATTATCGAGTCTAAATCAAACTGGGTACAAGTATATCCTGTAACTTTAACCACAAAATTAGTTTATTGTTTCAAATACCTAATTCCAACTGGAGAATACCAAGAAGTATGTTAAATAATAAATATCATGTATAATGAAATAATAAAATTTATGATTCGTTTTAAGTTTTTAACTCATGCATATGAAAAAAATTCTTTGCGCTTGGTCATGAAAATAATCAGTGCATCAGAAAAGTTAAACGGTTATTTAACTTTTGAAGCACTAAAATATTTGTCTGCTCTATTATGTCATAAAAAATTTGCGACTGAATTTATTGCTTCACAAGGATTACAGGTATGTTATATTCATTATATGTGTATTTTAACATAAATACATAATTTTTAGATATTAATAAAATAGGAATTTAAATTTATAAAATAGAATATATTTTAATTATATTAGACACTACTTATTTTTATTTAAATGTGTAACATTCAATTTGTATCATTGACACAATAAGCATATAGGCTTATAAGAGTAAAATAACAATATAATTTAAAGAAAGGAGTTACTCAATGGTGACACTTTCATTGAGGATCTTAAATACATATGTTGTTAAGTAAAAGATCACATCACTACTTACGCTTAAATCAACTTAGAAAATTTGTATGAGAAGTTGTCATGAAACCATTTTTAATAGAGCTTGGTTTCTTCATTTAGTGTCCAGGTTTAAATCTGTGGGAGCTTTGATTTGATACATAAGAGGTGCTTTTGTTAGTTTCTTTAAAGCAATATTTTATACTTTGAAAGGTTTGAATTTTATTTAAGCTTGTTTTTTTTTTGTGTTTCTCAGGACTTGTATTCCATATAGTTAGACAGGATTAAGTAGGGATTTATACATGAGAAGTTTAACAAGGAATATTTATTACTACATAATATAATTTTCAGCATTCATTTTCGGTTATTTAAAGTCAACCTTTTGGATTTAATGGAGAGGCCCAAGTTAGTTTTTGATCTAATATGAAACCGAAATATTTGACTACTAGAGAGTAGGTGATTGAGTTTCCATTAAAGGTAAAATTAGGGCAAGAGGCAAGTTTGAGAGTAAAGACTGTATATATTGATTTGCTTGGATTAACTTTGAATCACCATTTTGTAAACTAACTTTCCATTGTGTGTTTATGATTTTGTAGTTTTGATGAAGTAGCAACTGTCTATTATCTTAAAAAAATAATTGTTTTTTTGTAGAAACTACTTCTTATTCCTAAGCCCAGCATTGCATCCACTGGTGTTTCAATTTGCTTTTATTATTTGTCATATTGTGAGGAAGCTATGGAAAGAATTTGCCTTTTACCTGAACATGTCCTTGTTGATCTTGTTAAGTATGTACAATTAATTAGATAAGAGATATTTTCTTATGTAAAAAAATGTATTTTCAGGTATGCACTTTGGATGTTAGAGTGTTCTCACGATTCAAGTAGATGTCATGCAACTATGTTTTTCAGTTATAGTTTTCATTTTAGAGTTATTCAAGAAATTTTTGATAACCATGATGGATTACGTAAACTTGTTAATGTGGTAAGATTTAAATTGGAATTTAATTAAATAAATAAATATAAATATAAATTATAATATATTTACATGAATTAATACCTATTAATTATTTATTTTTATTTTATTTTATATTTATTAATTAATGCCTATTTATTATATAATGTACTAAAATTTTGGTCCGAGATGTACAAACATATTTCAGAGTATGAAAAATTCAAAATTCAATTTTAATTTTGCATATTAATTATTATTAAGTACAGACAAAGTCCAACTAAAAAAAAAACACACATTTGTGTTATAGAATATTTATATATTTATAGATACATATTATAAATTAATTAGGTAACTAAATTAACTAAATTAGGAAAGAACGAGAATTTATAGTTTGCAGAATGAGGAAGATGGACGATAGGGTTATTTAATAATGTCATGCAGCACAAATAAATTTAATAGATATTAAATCAATTGAATAATTAATGTCTACCAGGATAGTGACAGATGTGTTAAAATCTTAAATGACTGAACCATACTCTAGAATAGGATCAATGAATACACAAAATAGGGACATGAGAGGTATGTGGAAGTAAAATCTTGGAAAATACTGTTAACTAAGCTAAGTAGTTTAAAAGATTTGCCTCAGACCACAGTAGAGTTAAGATTTTTGGTAGGAGTGAATTCTAGATCACAAATATAATTGCTGGTGTGTTCAATAAGATGATTGTTAATAGAGTAGAGAAAAGAGACAAATGTTTTGAAGAAATGTCAGTGTTGTGTTATATTCTCAAGCTATCTTTAACTAATCCAAAATCCAATAAATATGCTTTTATGATTTTTCTTTAAATTGTATGGACCATCAAGTCACTTTTCATCATATATCTTACGGTAATTAAACTGAATAAATATTACAAATATGTAAAATTATAACAATGCAACTTAAGTTATGATCCAATTATTTTGGACTATATTTTATATCTAATTTATTTTATTTTTGATTTTTTTTAATTTCGACAAACACTAGTATACAACAAAATTTATTAATAGATTTTTTTTTTTTTTTTTAGGAAAAATTAATTTTAAGTTTATATATTTATAATAATTGTGTCATTAAAAACTTGCAAGTAATATGATAAAAATTTAAAAATTGTAATCTTAAATTATTATTGTAATATAGATCAGTACTTTGCCTCTTCTTTCATCTGAAGATCCAACATATAATGTGATAAGTGAAGATGCTGAATGTTCAGCCAGACAAATAATTCGTCATGTATGTGCTGGTTTGAAACATTACTTTGAAGCTCATTTACATATAAAAGCCCAGCAAATACGTAGAGCTAAAATGAGAGATTCTGGTCTTTTAATGACATCATCAATGGTTCAAAATTTTTATACTGTTCCCGGTTATAAAGTGAGATATTTTAAAAACTATAAAGTAAATAATTTAATATTTATATTGTATTTATTTTTCAGTCCACTAAAAAATCTCAAGCTGAGGTTCATGAAGAGATAGAATTATTATTAAATGCTGTGTCCATGAAAAGTCATTGGACACCTGTTGATCAATTAATTAAATTGGGTGGGTTAAATTTACTGTTACAAATCATCAATTTGGCTCATGAATGGAATTTTTCTGGAAGGTATTAGTTAATATAATAATTTGTTTTCATTTAATTTATAATTTCATTTATTGCGTGTTACAGATGTGAAATGATTAAAAATGCACTTGAGGTATTAAACATATGTGCTGTATTACCAAAAGTCCAATTGGCATTATGTGAACCAACAATAAATATTCAAGGCAATAATCCTAGTGATTCTTCTATATTAGAAGATGATCCACAAGCTGAAAATGATAATGTTGGTTTAAATATAATCATTAAAGCTGCTGAAGGAGAACTTTTAGATGCTGAAATCCAAAAAGCTGCATTATCTGTCATTATAACTTGTGTTTGTGCTCCAATTCATAGGGTATGTATTTTAATTTTTTTAATTATCAAATTAAATTTAGTATTCCTTAAATTAATATAGTATATTAGATTAATTTATGGAATACTTTGGAAGTATATTATACTTAGTTCACTATTATAATATACTAGGAAGGAGGGAGCATAGCATACTATTCAGCTCATGGATCTGCTAAGAAACGAATGCATAAAACTAATGATGATGGTGTAATTGAAAAAATTTGGGATTGCATTAGGAATAATAATGGAATTATGGTAATTTTATTATTGTATTAAACATATAATCTACCACATACTAGCATATTTTTCAATAATTATTGTTTGAAGTACCGTTTTTTTTATGTACCCATTGTATTAAAATGTATACATTTATTCATAGGTTTTACTAACATTAATGACTCTTAAAACTCCAATCACTGATGTTGACGCTATAAGAGGTTTAGCTAGTCGAGCATTAGCAGGATTAGCTCGCAGTGAATCCGTTCGTCAAATTATTAGCAAATTACCCTTATTTAATAGTGGCCAGTTACAAAGTATGTACTTTATTAATATTACATAAATACATTTATAACATTGGGTATTATCTCATGTTACTAAGTGGAATAAAATTCTAAAATTCAAAGACGTCAGTGACATGTCCACAAATTCATTTTTATTTCTATTCACTAAAACATATAACTCCAAAAAAATTTTACATACATTCAGACTACCTCCCCTCCTCCGCTTATATTGATTATACTTAGAGTAATAAATATTACTACATCAACTTCTCAAGAAGTATTTCATTAATTTGAGTGAATATATATAGAATTTAAATAAACATAAAGAAAAAGGAATGTAGTTTTTCAATATTTTGAAATAATTTTAAATAAAATAACACTCCAGTGTATTACATGATATTATATAGATTTATTTAAAAATAAGAAAGATAAATTTAGAAATTGCAGATGTGGATTAACTATAATTTTTTTATTTTAAATTAAATAGCATTTCTTACAAAACTTTAAATAATAATTGAATAAAATTAAATTAATTTGTCTATGTTATAATTTTTTGATCAGAAGTATTTTAAATTAAAAAAGGACATGTGTTGACAGATAATTATTATTTAACTTCATTGTGTAAATTATATTATTTGATTTCTATAATAGTACTCCATTTTAGATTTAGTGAAAAATCCTGTATTGCAAGAAAAGCGTCAAGAACATGTAACATTTCAGAAATATGCTTTAGAATTAATGGAATTAGTTACTGGAAAAGCAAAACATAATGGTGCAGAAATTGAAGCTTCATTAGCAAATATAAATCGGGTATGTTTTAAACTTAAAAAAAAAAAATCGACATTATTTTTTGTCTAGTAGTAGCTATATTGTTAGGATTAAGTAAATAAATAATACAATTAAAACTCAGCTCAAAATCATTAATCATTTTAAAACTACTACTAATTTGTTTTTAAATACCTTTTAAGTTACATAATGATAAAAATATTAAAAAATAATTTTTTATTTGAATTTTAAATTGTTTATAATTATGACTGGAATAGTTCGTAATCTTTTTTCTTTTTTTTTTGAGAGTAATTTTCGTGGTTATTTTTTAGATAGTAGAAGGATTTGTTTTTAGTTGTTTAATTTAATTTATATTTTACTAGTATCTTCTTTTAAAGAATTTATTGTATATAAACCAATGGCAGACAACCACAATATAAATTATTTTGTTGGCAGGCAAATATTGTTGCACAAACAAAAATAAATTTCAATGAACAACATTTGCTCCTTTTAATACATCAACATTTAATAGCGAAAGGATATACAGGTGCAGCAGACAAATTAGTACAAGAAGCAAATCTTAATATAACAGAAAAAAAGTCTGTCCCATTTACATATGTTGCTCATTGTCGTGTAAGTTAAATGTTCCATTTATTGTGAATTAATTAATCCATTAATGAGCTGTAACCAATATTAATATTAATTTGCTTTTTTTTTTTTTTAAGAATCGGTCAATTGGAGGAGGAATATCTCCAGCATCTACTAGGTACACAATTCAAAACCAAAAATCTGAAATAGCTAGTTCATCTAATGGTGTCTTAAATGCTGGTTTTAACATGCGAGGAGTAAATTCATCATCTCCAATACGTTTAAACGTTAATAAGTAAACATTTTATATCATTTTTTTTTTTTTTTTATAGTTAAAACATAATTTTTATTTTATATGTGTAGGCGAACTGAAACCCGTCCAAAACCAGAACTAGAACCTGAAACTGAATCACCTATGTCAAAATTAGTTCATAAAAAAATTGACCAAGATATACCATTATCATCTGATAACAACAGTAATTCAACAGTTAGTCTGGAATCTATTATTACCGAATACTTAACAAATCAACATGCTTCATGTAAACATCCTATGGTTACATGTCCTCCTTTTAATTTATTTGTGTGAGTATTAAGTTAAAATAAATCAACACTACATAATATTAACTAACATAAATTAAAATTATTTTTACAGTCCACACAAATGTCCTGATCCTAAACCAAGGAGTGCAATGTGTACAAACTTTGCTATGCGATTTTCCAAAAATATTCATTCTAGAAAACTTGATCAAAGACTCATTCATAGTCGTTTTTGTCCAACACTTATGTTTCGCATGGATAACGATGATGAAGCATATTTTACCTGCTCTGAGTTCTTAGTAAGTTTCTACAATAAATGTTAATTTATTTGTTATGAAGGTAATCTTAATTTTAGAACCAAAATCGTATTGCTATTGGAACAGATGGAGGTGAAATAAAAGTATTCAATTTATTTACTTCACAAGAAGAACTAACATTTTCAGCCCATGATGCATATGTTAGCCATATAGAATGTAGCAATGATGAAAGATTGATGGTATCTTCAGCTTCTTGGCGAGGATCTTTATCTAGTCTTTGGTCCATAAATAATGATACAATCAATTTAAGGTACAAATATTTCTAAAATTTAATTTTTATATTTAATAATACTAAATAATTTTACTATGATGTCTTAAAATATTTTATTGCATCAGGTTCTCATTGGATCTCGAAGAGTACTGTACTTTTAGCAAATATGACCAAAGTAAACTACTTGGAACTAAAAATGAAACAGCAACAGTAATTATTGAATATTTTATCATATTTTAATTTTTTTTAATTGATAATTTGTTTAGATTTATGATATTGAAACCAGTAGAAAATTGTTAGAATTAGTTCCAAGACATTCAAATCGGTACAATAGAAATCGTGCAGTATTTGATGCTACTAATGAATTGGTGTTATCTGATGGTGTATTATGGGATGCTACTTCTGGTAAAGAAATTCATAAGTTTGATAAGTTGAATCAAAATATTAGTGGAGATTTTCATCCAAATGGACTAGAGGTAAAACAGATTTGTCATAATTTATTACAGTTATTTAAAAGAGCATTTTCATTGATTAAGTATATATAATGCATAGAATACAACAGAATAGTGTTTTCAATACAGTTTTGTTTAAATGGCAAAAACTTAATGTAGAATAAACAACAAATAATTTAACAATTTATAATAGTGGTTTGATTCTGGCATATTAATTGCTTATAAAGTATATAATTCCTCATTGATTATTGTAATTTTTGATACATTTGTGCTGAATTTGTCCTAAGTGAACTAATTTTTAAACTTCTTTATTATTATTATAAAAGCTTATTGTAGTGAACCGTGTAAACCAACAGTTTTCAACCTGTGGGTAATTACTACCCAATGGGTAAAACAGGATTTTTGAGAGGTAAAAACTAGACTTAATTTTTTTATGTACTTAAAACCATTTATTATAATTATAATTATTATTATTTTATTTCCTTCAAATAATATTTAAATAGTGTATTCTTGATTACTTGTGCTCAACAAATTACCAAATTTAAAAATATATTGTTTCTTTAGATCAGGGATGGAAAACATTTTTAAAAACGTTATTAAAAAAAAAAAAAAAAAATCAATCAATAAAACCAAAAACAAAAAAAATATTATAACGAAAACGAAAATAAATTATAGTATTATACTATTATTATTTATTTTGAATAAAAAATATATCTGTTATCAAAAAGTTGATAATTCTGATAACTAATAGGTAATTGTTGACAAATAAAATATATTAATAGGGTAGCACAATAATTATAGTCCACATGGCACATACACATTGCAATGGTGACGATAAAATTCTATTATCTTTCACGGCGATGGTCATGGTTCATAGTGTAATCTATAACATGGTTGCCGCTTCAATTATTATAATATGATTATATTATTATCTATTGATTTTAGCAGTTGATTAAGAATTGATTTTGTTTTATAGTTTATTATACCTACTCATTATCCTATTGGCAATTATAGTTAATAGTAACAATAACATGACTATAATTTTTACTTTATCAGTGACTGTATTTTACATATTTTCTTAAATGGTTAAATTATTTAATTTCATTATTCTGATATCCATACGGTATTTGAAATCAAGAATGAACAAGTCTATGTTCGTTTGGGTTTATAATTCAATGATTTATTATCAAAAACGTTATTAGGAAACAATTTAGAAAAATAAAGTTTTTAAAAACGTTAAACAAAAACAATATTTGTAAAATCAACTAACAAAAACAAAAAAATTAAAAAGGTTTTCCATCCCTGCTAAGACTGGAAAACTATTGTTTAGTATAGTATGCATGAATGTTATTAAAATGAAAAATTAGTTATTCAAATAATATGTTTTACCCATAGGATTCTATGATCTAGGATCCTATTCTAGGATTCTAGGATATTTAAATAATATTGACTTAAACCATTTTTAGAGAAAATTAAAACTATTTTTATTCAAGGAGATTTTACAACTTCTCAAAAAAAAAAATTGAAATTCCTTTGCTATGACAATTAGTGACATCTCATATGATAAAAACAGATATTTTCAATATTTCCAAGATAAATTATGTAATATTAAAATAATTGAGTCAGCAATGATTTGTTATTGATAAATTTAATTATAAATTATTGTGTTGTTTATATGTATAATTATCGCAGTAGCCATTAATATATTTTTATTGGCGATTATTGTATTATATATACAGATATATTACCAATAACCTAGTTGATTATTTTCCCATGTTTAAAATAAAATTCATAATCTATAAAAAAAATTGCAAAATTGCAAAATTGAGAATGTCTACAGTTATGATGAAACCTTTATATTTTGTTTGTAATTCATTGCAAGATATTTATATTTATATAGAACTAGCAAAGAAAAAATATTTTTAGTCCTCTTGGTTTTCATAGTCTATGAATGAATGAAAGTAATCATCATGAATTTGTATAGTAGCAACAACAAAGGAATATAACAAATTAACAAAAGTAACAACTATTTTTTTAATATAAGGACAGAATTTTGATAAGTAAAAATACCTCAATACTACATATCCATTATGAATTTTCTTTAAAGTAGTTAGGTTAGGCTGAACTTTACCCAACAAGTCATTGATGGAAAAAATTAAATCCCCAAAAAAGTGAACAAATATACTATTTAATAAAATCTAAATTTATTCTTATACATTTGTAGATTATTTCAAACACAGAAGTGTGGGATATGCGTACATTTCAGTTATTACGCACAGTGTCTAGTCTTAATCAATGCGATGTGAAGTTCTCTAGAACTGGAGACGGAATGTATGTGTATGTTGCTGATCAAGAAAGTGATAATGATACTTCTCTCCAAACATCCTTTAAAACATTAGATCCTCTTGACTATTCAAATATTGGTAAATTTATAATATATTTTATTTATGGTTAATTAGATTCTTTTTTAATTTGTGTTTTAATACACACATGGTTAGCTACTGTTGATGTGAAAAAGTTTATATACCATATGGCATGTGATAGTTATGATACTCAGATAGCTATTGTTGAAAATCAAGGAATGTATGAAAATATTGATGAGTCCATTGTCCGAATATATGATGTTGGTAGAACTAGAAATGAAGATGAAACTGTGAGTTATTTTATTATTATTTAAAGTAATGTGTGTACGGAATTAACAATTTTAGTTTTTTTTTCAGTTGGATGATGATGAAGAAGAAGAAGATGATGATGACGTTGATACTGAAGCTTCAGGATCAGATGACGAAAATATGTCTTGTTAGTATATTTTTTCATTTAATTTATTTAATTTATCATATAAATTTGTCAATATACAATATGTGTACTTTTGTTCTAAATCAATCAATTGAGCTAAAAACTAGTAAATTTAAACTGTATATTTAGTTAAATATTTCCATTTTCATTGTTTTATAGTTTTTCTTTAAAATTTAATTTTAATATTGATGACAAATAGTGTTTTAAAGTTATGCTATACATAGCAGTTCAGCCCTAAAGAAAAATTGAAAATTAAATTATATTATTTTAAGTACAAACTACCCATTTGTCTTTACTTTTAAAGAGGTTTTTTTTTGATAATTCAGTTATTCAAATTTTATCTGAAAGATTTGAAAGTTCAACCATGTTTAGATGAATTGTCCAAATGATCAAAACACATTATTTTGAATGAGTCTGGTTATACATAGTCAGTTTAATTTTTTTAATTTTTTTTAATGATAATTTATAATTGATCAATATTAAAAAATGAATGATAATCAGCCATTAAAATATCCCAGTTCAACCGCTGTGTATAATGGCTTGTGTTACACAATTATTTTTTTTCCACAATAATCGATTATTTGTATGATTTTCCATTATAATCAATTAATTTAATAATCTGAGAGTATAGTATGATTGTAATTAACAATGATGAATACTCAAATAGTAATCGAATAACTAATTAACTGAATAATCATAGTATTATAATTAGTACTGCGCAAGTTTTTTGGACAATAATTGATTTTCATATAATTTTCGATTATTATCTATTATTCCATTACCCAATTATTTGATTTTTGATTATTAATCGTTAAATAATTTTTCGATTATTTATCATTCGTTAGTAATAATTGATTAAAAAAAATAATCGTCCAGGCCTAGTAATGACTCTTGTCCAGGAATATAAATTGTATTATTTATCTGGTTAAAATGTTATTAAAATGCAGGAAATTATAATAATAACTTCTTGAAAAAAATGTACTGCATTTTAATTTGCTTTCATTCAAGTTTTGAATTTAATTTTTAAGTAGTATTTCCATCGTTATTGGAAGATATGTTAAGTGGAGGCATGGGCTACGAAAGAGATCATTTTTCAAGTGGTAGCAGTAATAGCAGCATTAGTAGCAGAAATAGCAGTAGCTACAGTAGTGTACTTCATGGTTCTCATTCTCGTGCAGTAACTCCATTATCAGTATCATCTGAAACGAGTAATGATGCAAGTTATGATGCCAGTTATGATCCAGAAGTGTAGGTGATTGATTGTTATTAAATGCTATTAAATTTTACTGTTTTTTTTTTTTTTTTTATATATATATATAATTCTATGTGTAATTACTAATAATTAATAATAAATTATTTACAAATACCAAAATGTTGTTGCTATGTACTTTTGTATTCCCGTGTTTTAAATCATTATTTTCTATTGTTGTATGTATTGTTGAAATATAATATAGTTTTAAATTATATATACATAAATATATAATTTACCACTATGGTTCATTTTAAAGTTAACTGTTTTGTTTTTCAAAATTCTATACACAAATGTCAATTATATAATAATATACCATCCTCTTTAATCTAATAAGAACAGTGCCTATTTTGAATGATTTAATATGATTCATAAATACAAATGCTATAGTTTTTAGTTTTAAAGAAAATATTGAATTATTTACTTGATTTGATACAATGTTATTTATTACATAAATGAATGAATTTGAAATAAAAATATATTATCTTTTGTTAGTAATGTTAATCTTGAATTTGTATATTAACTGTGAGATAAAATTAAGTTATATGTTTAATAAACTTGTGATAAAAAATAAAATGATGTTGAATTATTTATTTGGAATGAAAGAAAATAGGTTAGTGAGTGAACTGCTTCTAAGGCTTGTAATTGTCTCATCTTCCTGATTTTTGTTTTTACACGCATGACCCAAGCATTAATTTAAACTTACGAAAAAAAAAACCATTTGTTTCAAAAATAAAAAAAAATAATAAATTGGATGATTTTTGACTCATCTTAAAGTCTGCTGAATTATTAGTTGACTATAATATTTGTTAAGGCTTACATATAAAGTCTATAGCGTGTATCCGGTTAAAACTTAATCTTATACACAATTTTATTACTCAAAAATTCTAAACTCAAAGTATTAATTAAATACATAATAACAGGAAAGAATCTACGGTTGGGAGAGAGCAGATGCTTCAAAGTATATTAAAAGTAGTATGACATTACTTATAACAAATCAAAACTCACCTGTCTAACAATTATAATTTTTAACCGCCTGAAAAAATAATGCCTTGTATAAAATTGGTCAAAAAAAAAACAGTTTAAAAATGTACTAAATACATAAGGAGTCCATAAGTTGTATATTGAACAAAATTGTTCTGTATTACAACATTGAATCTATTATACCAACAAAAGTTGAACGGAACATATTTCGTCCCGATTTTCAAATATAAAAAAAAGTTACACACAAGATTGTACTAATTATGATATTTCCATTCTATATAAACAAATACAAAAATCAATAAATTGTTTTAGTTTATTTTAATTAAAACACATTTGTAATATTACAAGAACAAAACAATATTTCATTATTTAAAATTTGTATAGCTAGAATAATTGATAGTTATGCATACGTAATTTAATACAAAAACCATAATAAAAACAATAAATATTCGTAACAGTTTTTCATTTTCTGAGAAGATAAATATATTTAAAACTATTTATTTTCGTATTTCAATGTCACTTTTTAATACTTTAAAAAAGATCTCTAAACGTTATAACGAAATGGTTGTATGTGACTGTTTTGTTTTAATTATTTTTAATCTAGAAATGGATCGTTTTGTACAAGCATTTGATATTGGTATAAAAAAAAAAAAAAACAATTTTAAACGCAGTAAAAATATTTGTCAAAACTAAATAAAATGTTGTAGAACAAACAAGTAGTGGGGCCGAACACTTACTTTTACGGGGCAGTTCACCCCTTCGTTTAACTATGGTGGTGGGTGTCTGGTATTTGAGTGGTGTGAGGTGAGTTGGGTCACCCATCTTGGGTGAATAAATTTACACTCTAGTTAGTAAATCTTAAGAATGTACAAATTAAGTGACAGTCGATCTGTAGATGGTAGGATACTATGATGCGATATAACAATTCGCCTATCAATGTATGTCTTTATACCATATCAAGTACCTATACAGACGTACATTGACATTTATATATATTTCGCACACATAATGAAGTTAAATGTCTCTCGGTTCTCAGTGTTTAAAAGTGATTACACAGCATGCAAATACATCTTTTAAACATTCTAAGATAGTTACTTAAATTACCAATCGCCCCGTGAAATATTTTTGAAACATATTTTTTTAAATTATAGTTTTTTAAAAAATGAAATAACTGTTTTTTGTTTTACGTTTCTTTAATTTAATAACTTATTTAATATTTAAACAATTAATCCTATATTTATATACGCTTTAAATTGTTATTAAGTGTTTTTTTCTAAGACTTCTATGAAGTAGGTAAGCAATAAGTAAGGTAAATAGGTAATAATTAATACTTAATTTATAATTATCATTTTCAGTCTGTATGATTATTGATTTATGATAAAATATGAGGCATTTAACTCGATCATAATTTATATTATTATTATTATGTGTTGTTTTAAGCGGTACATTTAACAATAAATACAATCGTATTCTAAAATAGACTTAATAGTGCGGGCTGTCGGTTATAACCCCCCCACACCACTTGGATACGCCATTGCTGAATAGTACCTTCTTAATAGATGAAATTGGAGTGATGAATCGCGAACGAAGCCAGCGAATTTATGATGACTAAATTTACAATATAATCATTCAATCATGTAACCTGTCATTATTTTGCTCTAACTTTTTGGGTGGTGGTATTAACAAATTTTTATACTTTGCCCCACCAATTAAAATACAAGTCGGCGCCACTGCAAACAAGTATTTCTAAAATACAAAAGATATTTTGGTAAATATTAGTCTTTAGCAGAATTATCATCATCTGATTCTTCTCAACATATTTTCTAAACTGATTCCATGTATCAGCTGCATTTTTTGTTAAAATAACCGATTTCGTCGAAATATTATTAAAACTTTTTTATGATTTTGTAGTATTCGGTATTTTTTTTTTTTTTATATTGTTCTAACCTTAAACATTAAAATTGTAAGTCACATGAATTTTTTATAATGTGACTTACAATTTAATTTTTTTTTATTTTTTACTATGAATTTTTTATAATAGTAATGTTGTGGATTTTTGTCGTGTTTTGTTAAAATATAACAATCATACATTTTTTTTTCTTAAACCAATAAGATATAAGTATGAGGAATTTAAAATTACATTTTCAAGACTTTATCGAACCAAAACAATTTTATTGACTTTTTATGAAAAAAAGTTAAGAAAAACATCAAATTTTTATAAAAATGTTCATGGTATTCAAATATTTTGAAAATTTTACCATTTATAATAAATGGTACCTATCGTAAACATTATAAGCACTCAATATAAATTTTAAGTCCCTAAGAATATTATTTGTTGAGTTATGGCGAAAAATTAAAATAATACCAATATAAATAAATAAAAGCTTTAATACTCCAGACTAAACTTTAAGCTTAGTCTGGAGTATTATTATATTTGTAAAATACTACCGATTTTAAATTAAAAATTCATCATCAGGTATATACAAAGTTAATAAAATTGTGACTGAATATAAGAATAAAATTGCAACTGTGAATAAGAAAAAATAAAAGAAGGAATAAATTGAGAAAAAAATGTTGTTTTATATAAAGATCATTTATTTTAATAGGAAAAATTATTTAAAATGAGTTCTACTTAGGGATGGGCATGAAATACGAATATCTGAATTATCCGAATATCCGGATATCCAAATCCGGATTTGAATTAAATTCTTATCGGGATTTCCCGAATTATCCGGATTTATGGATTTGCTTTTTATTTGACTTCAGATTTACAAATATTTTTAATGTATGGTAAAATAAATTATTTTATTATAATGAAAATTTAACAAAATGTTATATTATTAAAATATTATTAGTATTTAAAAATGAGTCATTGAACAGCAAAATCGAGTTGAATAATCCGGATACTCCGAATAATCCGTGAAAGCCGGATTTACTAAATTCGGATTTGACAAATCCGAATAATTCGGATTTTTGAAATCCGGATATGCCCACCACTAGTTCTATTAGACAATTAGACATACGTTAAGAAATATAAATACTTTGGATACCTATTATTAGTGTATGCACGTCTATGGAGGTTTAAAATGTCCATGATTCATATCACATCAAATTTAAACACCAAGTTTTATATTGCATATTTTGCATTTTTCGAGGGTTATTGGATATTTGTTCATAAATACATATAACATGCATATTTAATGGGTTTTTAATAAATTAACTATTTTAAATTACAGTAAATTTTGTAATCGCCTCGAGTAGAGCATAAATATACACGATAGGTATTAAGTTTCAAAAATATTATTTTAAAAGATTTGTATTTTTTTTAAGTTTTCTATTAGTTTTTTGAGAGTAGGCAACTTTAAATGATGTAAAATATTTATTTGTATTCTCGTTTTTAAGTTTCCTAAAAGTTTTAGATTGATTTAAATGATTTAAAATATAAAGCAATGGATATTATAATTTTTTTTGTTTTTGATAAAATATTTAAAATTTTATTTGGTATAAAAAAAAATTACATTTTATAAAGTGTAACATAATGCATATAATTGCATATTTAAACACTTTTAGACACTTTTTAAATGCATATAAATCTTTGGGCTCTAGTTATTATTATCATTATCTATAACGTATTGATATAAGATACTTTTAAAATAGATTTGTACATTTAAAACCGGTAGTAATAAAATTATTTTTCTTTATCTCATTGTATACCTATGTGAACTCTACTAAAACTGAATTAATGTAAATGTTATTTTGTGTATTTAATATTTCTAATTCTGTATTGATATCAAAATGTATATTACGGTTATTTTTAAAACATGTTTAACAAAATTTGAATTAGGTGCAGTCTTTTTAATTTTATTTCAAAAATGTGTTCTTTATATTTTATTTTAAAATTTATATTTGATATGTCTAAATAAAATGTACCTATTACAACTACAATTAAACATATACACATCAGAATTTTCAAAAGAAGGGGAATTTTACATGATTGATATGTAATATGATATAATGATATTATGTAAGAATATAATGAATTTACCCTAAAATTATTTTTATTTTTTTTTATTCATTAAATGTTAACATTAATAATTTAAATTATAGAATAGTAATATTCTTGTTGCTCAACATTTATCATTTTTATATTTTCGTAGTACCTCGCATATTGCAAATCTCAGGTAACCGATAAAATATGCCGTTAAAATAACTATTGAAATCAGTCGTACAACATGAGATTTATCTAAATTAAAATTGTCATACTTATTAGCTCAAACACATGAGCGCTCATCCTCATGCACGAGAAGAATCGAAACAAATAATTTAAGGGTCATAGGTGTGCGCAGGGGGTATGCAGGGTATGCAACCGCATACCCTAAATATAGAGCCTTCTTTCCAAAATCACATAAAATAAATAAAAATTATGATATACTCGTATTTGGTCTTATGTATATTATGTGATTATGTATTACATTATGATTTTTATTATATTTTTATATTCAGTCCCAAACAGTTTAATTTATTTTTGAAAGAAAAATCATATGCTATAATAACGATTTAATGTGTTAATGAAATTAAGAAGTACGATAATTCAAGCAAGATTAAATAACTATCAACTACAGAACAAGAAATGACTATAAATTAAAATCCCGAAAACATTATTGGTGATATTAAAAACTCAACTGTACGCAGAATCTTTTTATGATTAATTTTAATTATTTATTAAATTTATTTTGTTTTTTGTTTAAGTATATAATTACGTTTTTATTTATTTACCCTATTTAAACGTATTACTTAAAACATTTCAAATATTATGTATTTAATTTTTTTTTTTCATAATTTATTTTAAATTTTAATTATGAAGACAGTTATAATAATTAAGAAATGGCTATTCAGTCTCTTTTTTCGGGAAAAAAAAAATAAAATTTTAAATTAAATAGGTTATTAAGATCAGAATTTTGAACGCTTAAATTAACTTTTAGTTTTAGGGGAGGTAGGCAGTGGCAACCTTTTGCATACCCTGAAATAGAGGTCTGCGCACGCCTATGTTAAGGGTCCACTATGACGCAAAATAGTTTAACCGATTTTGCTACATAGAAAGAAAATTATTATTGAATAAAAATAATGATTATGATCCATTGAAATAAAGCCGTGTGCAGTTATAAATGAATGATATAATTTGTGTTTTTCTTAAAAACAAAATTAATATCAGAATACCGCTGTACTATATGTAACATCAATTACTAGTATTGATTTATCATTTATTTTTAACCATTCATTTAATTACTTGTTAATTTTTATTAATTACCATGTTATATAAGAATATTTTAAAATATTCTGGGATTGGGACTATAGACTATTGCCTCCTTAATTATTTATTTCTAGTTACAATGTATTAGAGAATTGGCACTTGACATTCATATATTTCCAAATCATTTTCAAAAATAAAAGTTAAGTAGTAATACAAAAGCTTTTTCAGATAGTCATTCTTTAGTTGTAGTGAATAGCGATTACTGTTCTAGTTAATTGTTTTCTTATGCACCCAATACAATTGATCAGATTAATTGCATATTTGTACGAATATACTGTACAATGGACAGATTATAATAGCATAGTAGTTAAATAATAATATGTGATGACATAATGCTGTAAGTTAGGCATGAATAGTGTATAGTAATAGTAATAGCGTGTTCAGATAGAGTATGAAGGGGAGAAAAGAACTTTGACCAAATGGACAATAATACATTGAATTATGCATCTACAAATTTAATTTTGTTTGGTTTTAATAATTTAAATGTTAATTTTAAAGTTTTTTTTTTCATTGGTACGATAGCGGCAAAGGACAACAAAAATACAAATCGCGATGAATTAATTTAAAAAAACTATACTCATAATTAGGTCATCGGTGAAGTGTGGCACTGAAGAATATCAAAATATGCTGGGGAACATGCAGTATCTGTACCAATATGTCCCTATATTAGGTACGTTGCATCAAACAAGGTCCCGTACATCACGGCTTCGGTGCACAATTTTCTCAATGACAACAGAAAGGATTTTATATATATTTTATATTTTATTTCGATTTTCATTTATGCATCGTGTTTTACGCGGAAGGTCTGGATGAAACATTTTCGGGTAGCTTGTTAAAAACGATCGGGTTCAGAGTCTGTTGATAACTGTTATATATTATTTATATTACTTCACTGCATATTTATGTAGTAAATTTATTTAAGTAGTTTATGTAGGTATGTTGTATGCCTACTCAAATGCTCAATGGACTCATTGCTAAATAAATATTATATTATTCTAAAATATTATAACAGTTTTACCTGAACTTTAAAATGTTTTCTTTTCATTATTAAATAATTGTGTGTATGTAAAGTGTAGTTAATTTCAGGCTGGAACTAGGGGGTCTCCCCAAGTTTAAGTAAGCTTTGGGGCCCGTGTGCGTGGCACACTCTGCACACCCGGTTTTTACGGCACTGATCAGAATGCACAACGAAACGACGGCCAACATCTAACAACTGAGCGGGAGGGGGGGGGTAACGATTGCCAAGTGCATCATTACGAAATCGATGCAATAAACCGATAAACCGGATCACGCAACCGCTGAACCATCGCGTAAAATAATAATGATTTAGGTAAAAATGTTTTTTTTTTCTATTAGTACAACAGAAAACATGGTTTAGAACAGGGGTCACCAAATGGCGGCCCGCGGGCCGCATCCGGCCCGCGAATACATTTTAACCGGCCCGCAGACTGAGAGAAAATCCAATAATTTAATACGTATTTATTATCAAGCGAGATTGTTGCAGTCGAAATGTTGCAGGTAATTTCTTATCTTTGTACATTATTACTGCATTATTAGGTTTTTTCGGATGCAACAAATATTATACTAGCTGTGAAAAATATCTTATCTGTTTTATTATTTATTTGAAATTTTATTACGACAAGTCGACAACTCGTTAAGTCACATATATTAATATACGTACAACACGTCAGTCCGTCAGTTATCGGTGAGACGGTGGTGTCCGCTGCGACGTAATTTTTGTTCGTCCGTTCCGTTTTATTTATTAATTTTCGTAATTAAATAATATATTATTCTTTGTTTTAACTTGACTATGGATAGAAAAAGAAGAAAAATAGAAAATGAAAATAGACAGCTTTGTCCTGAATGGATGGACTTATATTGTTTTATTTTACCAGATAGAGTAGGTGCCTTACCTGTTTGTTTGATTTGTAATCAAACAGTGGCTGTTATGAAAGTATTTAATATCAAACGTCATTATGAGACACACAAGTCATTTGCCGAAAAATTCCCATTGGGTACTGGCCTTCGTAAAACAAAAATTGAAAATCTAAAAATGAAATATAAATCGGCAACTCAAATTTTGAGCCAAGCAATGACTGAACAACAAAAATGTGCACAGGCATCTTTACAAATTTCGTAGATACTCGGTAAACATATGAAGCCATTTACAGATGCTGATATTGTTAAAGAATGTATGCTTCAATCTGTAAATGTTCTGTTTGGAAATAAAAAGGAAATTGTCGAAACTTTTCGTCATATCCCAATATCAGCATCCACTAACACGAGAAATACTGAAGTACTGGCCAAAAATAATCACAATCAGTTGAAACAAGATCTATCTACTGCTGATTTTTATTCTATAGCCTTGGATGAATCAAGTGATATAACAGATACATCTCAGCTAATAATTCACGTGAGATACTTGAGCAATATCAGTGGGACATTTTACGAAGATAGCTACCACAAACCATAACCCCGACTTAAAGCAGCTAGTTGAAAGCAAGATCTGCCATTTTTCTCATTAAAAATATTAATTAATAATTGTTTCATATATTTATTTAATTTAATTATATTTTCATTAGTTTTAGTTACATAATAATTAATAAGTGTATATATTTTTTTTTAGAAATAAAGTATTTTTGACCAACCGGAATATTATAATAAATATTATGTACTTTTAAATTTTTATGGCCCGCGAGAATTTTCCGAATTCTTAATGTGGCCCGCCGGAAATATTAATTGGTGACCCTTGGTTTAGAACAACGGTGCGCAACATTATTTGATCAACGACCATAAAATCAATCTATTTCAATTAGGTGATTCCATTTCCTACCAACATTATCTAAGTGTATAATATATATGTTTACTTAACACAGAAAAACATTTTGTTCGTATAAATTAAATCGTTCATTTTAGGCAATTATAATGTTTCTTTAATATTATTAATGCAAAACATAAAAAAATTTAAAAAAATAAATACAAGATTTAGAGTTTTATGAAATCTGAAACATAAGTATGAAGTTATTTAAAATAAAAATACACAATTTGTGACTTAGTCATTCGGTATTAAATTATTGGCGCTCCACCGGTTTAGAACATCGTATCGCGTGCCCCTCAGCGACCAGTGCCACCGCAAGTTTTTGCGAGGCCCTAGGTGAGAACAGTACAGTTTCTATTCACCTAAATATATCTAACTATTCTAACTACTTCTAACTTGACAAATTGCGGGCCCCCGAATTCGTTTCGAGTGTGAGGCCCTAGGCGTAGGGCCGTGTTTATGGGGGTGCGAGAGGTACGTGTGCATCGGGCGTCATAACCACTGGGGCGCCAAAAGCTTTTTCAAAATCATAGTAATATTATCGAAATTTAACCATATTATATTTAATTTATAATATTTAACGTGTTCAACGCCACGGTCTCGACGCGTAGTCAAGATCATTAACATTGTCCTGATAGGTGGTGTTGCTTGTTCATTTTTATTATTGGTATTTATTTTTCTCGGAAATAACGACATCGTCGATAACAAATTGACAATAAAACATCATTTATACTTTATTATTATTGTTACTTGATATAATTAATTTAATGATATTAATAACATAGACGATTGTGACTTGAACGAGTTGTACGATTTCATTTTGAATTCATCTAAGATCTAGATGGCATCTAGATGAGTGTTCACATCATAATTTATGAACGGAGAAGTTGCATAAATAGGTGCCTAATTATTTTTCATCAACAATTATTTAAAGGTAAGTTAAATTATGCTATCGAATAAATTCGAATTGTAAATAAAATATCCAGGTTTAATATGTTAGGTTTTTATCTAGGTTCATGCTTTGTTTTATCTATACAATTTGAGTTATATTACTTATATTGTTTTTCAGTTGTTGATTATTTATTTAATTAATTTAGTAAATGCAAAATAAGTAGTTATAAAGAACTCTCTATTATGTAGTCTCCTTATAGCCTGTAGACATAAAAATATTTGATTGAGGAGGTGGAGGCGCTAAAAAAGATTCTTGGCACCGGGTGCTAATTTTGCTAGGTACGGCACTGCTTAGGTCAGAGGTGGCGAACCTTTTTTGATTCGTGTCAAATTTTTCCAATTAAGATTTTGAAAAACGTTCAAGTGCCTAAAGATTATATTTTCTACGAATAAAAATAAAATTACAGATTTATTTCACTATTTTTATTAAATTTTAGTAATTATTAGTGAAACACAAGCAGCAATTATTTCATCGGTCAAAACATTGGTTTTCTTCGATTTAATTTAATCCGTTATGGTGAAAAAGCTTTCACAAACATAAGTTGACGAAAAATATGAATGTTTAAGGAATATTGTCATTTTTAAAATATGTATAATTGGTTTCTTTGAATTTCTTACTACTAACATTTTATAAATAGTATGATTTCTTTTTTCTCGTATACAATTTTTAATGATTTCAATTTTTTGCGCGCGCCATAGGTTCGCCACCCCTGGATCCGGCGATTGTTTAAAGTTGCCCGCTCGCTGACGTCGGCACTGGTCGAGAAGCGTGCACGATCACCGAACGCGTGGACGGACCGCGCACTTATGATAAAGGTTCTTCAGTGCCGATATACAAACCTGATAACGTGTGCGTGCGCGCGTTGCGCGTTCCCCGAACAACAAGTTTTGGCGGTTAAAACGCGATGAGGTCGTTGTATTGCCGTTGTTGGTCGTCATCCAGTGCCGCAGCTCTGTCGCCGCCATTACACCGTTGTTCACCGCCGTTTGCTCACGTCCCGTCACTGTGCCCTACCCATTCGTCACTTCCGTTCCTGTGTCCGCCGGCGTTACCTGTCCATCTCGCTACCCTTCAACAACCGTTCGGCATCGTTTCTGCCGCGCACGTCGAACGGAACACTACCACGCAACCAGTTATCATGGCGTCGTCATCGTCAGCGAAGACCGCGGAAACCCGACCGCCGTATGCGGTGTTCATCGAGGGCAACGTGGGCAGCGGCAAGACCACGTTCTTGGAACATTTCGCCAGTTGCCCGAACGTGTTTTTGGCCAAGGAACCGGTACACATTTGGCAGAACGTCAACGGCCACAACTTTCTGGTGAATCCCGCACTCACCCCCTACCCCGTCATCGGTAGGACGTCTTCTTAATCCGCTGTTCTTGTTTGCCTGTTGACAGGGTCTCATGTACCAGGACCCGAAACGCTGGAGCTTTGCGTTTCAGTCAATCGTGCAGAGGACCTTTCTTGAGTTGCATCAGGCTAGACCGAAACCCGAACAAAATATCAAAATCATGGAACGATCAATCTACAGTGCCAGGTGATCAAAAGCGTTTTATATTTTCTCTGAAAACGTTCTTAAAGTATATAATTTCATCGTATCTCTGCTCAGTTTTGGGAAATAATTTATTTTATCAATATATTTTGGTATTTTATTCGAATCTGTGTGACAATTTGAATTTTGAACTCGGGTCATTGCACGTACGGGTGGGGTGGAGTAAACGAGTTTGGCCATGAATAACGGCGGGAAGGGATTATTATAATTTATTTTTCTTTGTCATAAAACAATCACAATGAATTCCAGATGTTCTGGACCGGTGGACTTGTACATTCTTAAACAAACATTCTCAATCTAATTATAGGTACAATAACTAAATAAATATTTTTGTGTCTAATGGACATTTCATTGGAAAAAAACATTTTTAATATATTGACTTAAGAACTGAATAAATATTTCTTTGTCACATTTTTATTGATTTTTTTTTTCATTTGAAGATTTTATCTTTGCCTGGGAAGTATAAAATTGTCATTTGATGTACATTTTGGTAATATGTATTCATACTGTGCTGGTCAAACTTATGTCATTATTATCATATTTAATGTTCAACAAATAATATTGTTGATATAATGTGGAAACAAATATTATACTATTTAAAATATAAATAGAATAAATAATAATATCTTATGCATTTAGTGTTAATATTAAAAAAATCTGTGTAATTATTTTACTTCATATGTTAATCTTTATCTAGAATTACATTAGATTTAATTATTAAATAATAGCTTATAATTTATGACTCATTTTTAGTTGTTTTTAATTGTATTGTTTAAATTGATTTAAACTCACTATGATATTTTTAATATTAGATATTGTACCATATTTTTTGATTATTATTGCCATGTGTAATAGGTTTTATTAAGATTTTTTTAAATAATTGGTTCAAATCATAAAACTTATACTAATGTTTTATGATAATCAGATGAACTTTAATATATTAAAACATAAGATTTTAATTTTATGATGTACAAAGTATGTTTTTGAAAATTAAAATTTACTTTTGATACCTTAGGTGGTTTCTAAATTATTTCTAATTCATAAAGATTCATTAGAAATTAAAAAGATTTTTTGAGTTTCCATATATTAGCCTCATAAAAGTTAATTTTTTTAAATTTTAATTGACTTGGAAATTTATAAAATTTAAATAATTTTTAGAAATGAAAAATTATATAGCATTATAGTTGGTTGGTGAATGTTGAATGTTACAAGCAAATGTTTGAGTTTCATTTTTGTTTTTTTAAACAAATTTTCATGTTTGATGATTTATTATAAACAATCATGAATTATTTCATGTCAGCCTTTTTAATATTTCAATATCTTTGTTTCGATAATTATTATTGAAAATTGTGTAGGAAATGAAATAGACAAACATTCAATCTATATTTATGATTATAACTGAATGGTTATTTTTTAAAGTTATTATAAAAAAAAAAATTTAACGACAAACATTTTAAATAACTAATTTGTTTATTTTATTGAAATTCTAGAAACATATTTGTTGAAAATTTGTACAAGGACAATCTTATGGCTGCTCCTGAGTATGCTGTGTTGGATGCATGGTATTCTTGGCTAATAGAAAATGTTAAGATAGAATCGGACCTCATAAGTATGAAAAACAAAAAAAGTTGAAAACAGTTCTATATTTTATTCGTTTTATAGTTTATTTGAGAACAGATCCAGAAGTTGCTTACCAAAGAATAAAAGCCCGAAATAGGCCTGAAGAAAAAAATGTTCCATTTGAGTACATCAAACATTTACATGAATTGCATGAGAGTTGGTTAAATGTGACCAAAACTGATGTTCCTAAAAATACACCTGTAAGTAATTTATTCTTATATTTTTCTCTTACTATTTGACTGTCACAATTATTTTATACTTACTACTATATAGTTTTTTTTTTTATTAATACTACTTAGATATTTTTCTAATATAATGTAGATATTTAGTTAGTTATGTATTAGTTGATGTAATTGATTTTAATTCTTAAGTACCTATTATTAAAGCTCATTTGAATGTAGTAGTACATATTTATTTTTATTTTAGGTGATTATTATTGATGCTAACCAAAGTATGGATTTAGTTAAAATGCAATTTAATGGTATTAGGGACCTAATTACTAAAAATGCTTCAGCAATTATTGAACCGAAAACAATTTCTAAAATCAATAATAGTATCAGTGCTGTTCAACTCAACAAATCACCATGTAAATTGATGCCAGATTCAACTATTGTTTCGGCTCAAAGAGTGTAATGATGAATTGCTTTTTTTTTTTACTTTATATTATATAATTACATATTTTGAACTCTAATACATTTCATATTACATATTACATTTTATATTTTAATTTTCTTGAAAGTATTGATATGTTTGAAATGAGGATCAGGGTTTATCATTATAGATTTCCTGTACTTTTTTTTTTTTTTTTTCATGACTATGTGTCTTGTAGTGACTTCACTGTAATATAAGTAATAATAACCAATTTTAAGTGGTTATTATCAATAAAATTGTTTTTATTTTTATGAAATTGATTTATTTTTAACTTAGGTGCATACTTTTGAAAGACATTTTTTATTGCACATTGTATTAGTTATAATTGATATAATATATATATATATATATTTATAGCTTATACTCTGAACCATGAAGTAACTTGTAGAATATTTCTTTACCATATGCACCCTTGTACCATACATTATAATTAAGATCAAGATCAGTTATTTTATTTTTATTTTATGTATAAACTTGCAATTTTCTTCATTTATTTTATATTTAATTAAGATTAATGATTTACTGTGATAATTAAAGTCTATTTTTATTCCAATCAAACACTTATTTAAGTATGTTTTATTCTTAGTCAAATGATGAATCCATATAAAAACATTATTTTTAAAGAATATGAAGCAAAAACTTTTATATTTATATTCAATATGCTGTTGTATGTACAACTTCCAAGGTGGCATGATACAATTAGCAGGTTTAAAATTATGTTAAATTGATATTATCAATGATTATAAATACTAGTATTAATAATCAATGATATTTTGCATACAATAGTTTTTGAGTACTTTTGTGCAAAATATAAGTGTAAATAATTTGTAATTTTTATTTTTCATAGGTAATCTGTTTTTGTAACAGTAATTGCATATGCTATTCTAATTACACAATGTACTTATTTACCATTGCTTAATTTCATGAAGAATTCAAATTTTAAAAATAATTAATTTGCTGTTTTTTCTTTATTAATTAGTTTATATAATTAAACTAAAATATAAAAAATTATGTGAATAAATTATTTACATTTGTGTTTCATACATTATATGACTTATTCATACATTTTTGTAATTAAACTAATATAAATATAAATTGTTAAATGTACTAAAGAAAAAATTAAATGGATTTGGTTAACCTTCAGGTTAAACTAGTTAAACTATAATTATATCTATATTATTAAAACAATGCTTAAAGTGTTTTTACTATTGGGGTAGGAGTTAAAACAGTCACTTCATAATTATACTTAAGAAATCAAAACGAGAATTAGTAATGAAAACATATTTGCTCTTACCCCTTTCAGAACAATTAACTTCCATAGCGTTATTAATATGATCAAAATTCAAAAGGAATATAATCAATGCATATTTTTTTATTATAAAAGACTAAATTTAAAGAATTGTTATGGACGTACATTAAATGTACAAGTATCATAGTATATGGGACCACACACCACATAATTAATATTAGAATAACTCTTATACAGTAAAACCTGTGTAATATGGAAATAGTTGGGACCGGATATTTTTTCCATTTTAGACAGGTTTCCATTTAATGCAGGTTGTTAAAAAAAAAAATTCACGATAGATCTTTATGAAATACATATAATTTATTTTTTATTATTAATTCATTTATTTCATATATTTTACATATTATTTATCATTGCATTTTACTCTAAAATTCATCCAATGTTTTTTGTTTTGTTATTTGACTTGCCATTTTCTTTTCTACTAAATTTTTAAAGTTGGGAATTGATTCAAGAAGTTAATTTTCATTATTTTGATACAATGCGAAAATTTCTAATAGTTTTATTTCATGGAGGGCGTTCGTATACGTTTTAATATCACTGCCGTGCAATGATACATTTAACTGTTTCGTCTTCGGAACTGGATTGTTCAACATCTATTGAAGGGCAAGGTTTCACTGTAGTATCATTAGTTCATAAATGCTTATCGATGTTAACATTTCATCACTATCAACTTTTTCATTTATTGTAGAACATAGCAATTTAAAATCGTTATCGTTATCATTAATGGCATCTGTTGGCTGGTCCAAAACTAAATTAAACCCGGCTTTTATGAAACATTTTTTGACTAAATCTGGTTTTATTAGTTTACAAATTTATTCAACCAATAAATTGCATCTAGTACATTAATTTTATTTGACAATTCATTAACATTTTTTATGCTATCCATACTTGCTAATAATGATTGTAAAACCATTTTACGATAGTTTACTTTAATCGAATAAATAATTCCTTGGTCCATAGGTTGGATAAGATAAGAAACGAACATTTGATAAATTTAAATGCGAATGACATGTTGCATTATCAAGAAATAAAATAACTCTTCGATTTTGTTTTTTAAATTTATTGTTATGTATGCAACCAATCTTCCATTATGCTTCCAGTCATCTATGCTTTATTATTAGCTCGCCAAATTATGGGAAATTTTGTCGAATCTAAATTTTTGAAACATCTAGGTTTTTGTGCTTTGCCTATAACTAGAGATTTTTCAAATTATCCTTCCATGTTAGCACATAAAAATACCGTTAAACGTTTTTTGGAAAGCTTACCAACTTTACACTCTTCACTTTTTCCTGATAGTGTTTTACTTGGTAATGCGCGAAAGAATAAACCCGTTTCATCACCACTATAAATATTCTTAGGTTCATATCCTTCAATAATTAGTTTTAATTTCACATTCCATTCATCAACATTTTTAACATCGACACTATTTAACTCACCGTAAATTTTATGCCAAACAATATTATGTCGATTTTTAAAACTTTCCGACCAGCTATTTGATGCTTTAAATTCGGTGACTGACATTTGTTCAGCAATTTGGCGTGCTTTAGTCTGTATAATTGGTCCAGAAATTGGTATATTTTTTGCTCTAGCACTTACAAACCACTTCCAAGTCAAATTATTAATTTCTTCATTAGCGTTGGATTTTGGTTTTCTTTTCATTTGCCCATTTCCTAAAATGAAAATTATACGTACATATATACGAGTAGAATTTTGAATTTTACATTTTTATAGTTAAGCTTATTGCATACCATTTATACATTGTTCTTTTATTTCATTTTTTTGCTTTAATATATTATACACTTGACTTTTTCCACATTTGAAAAGTTCACAAATTTGTTTTACTGTTAATTTATCTTTTTCACTTGACTCAATTAGTTTAATTTTTTCATTTAGTAATTAATATTTATTTTTGGACGTCATATTGAATGTACATCTATACGCAGTCTACGTCAGAACACTACTACGACACTTATCGATAAAATAAACTTATTGCAACGAAATAATCTATATACATAATTGATAAAGATTATATTTATTGACTAATAATTTTAAAATAGTACATGTACATATTTCCATGATATACAGGTACACGACAAAATATTGTTTCCATTTCCACAGGTTCCATCTTATTCAGGGAACGATGTTTTTAAAACTGCATTAGGTTCGCCGGGACCGTAAAATTTTTCCATAAAAGTCAGGTATCCACGTTATTCAGGTTCCATATTACACAGGTTTTACTGTATAATCATTGTAAATAGGTACCAGTTATACAGTTGCAATGGCTAAAGGATTATGGTTATTTTCCAAACAATAATAAGTAAATACAAATCACATAATGGAATAAGTGAAAAGTGGTTCTGCGAAATGCAGAATTCACGAGGCCAACCAATTATATAATAAGTAACCCAGAGTTGGGCGCACATTATTAACTAAAGTACATGTCAAAACTCCGTATAGGGGATTTACATGTCAGCCAAATACTATTGTTGACAATCTAAAAACGAAACAGCAATCTAAATGTTAAAACGAGTACAAGGAGTTCACCCAAGAATGACGTATTTAAGGTAGTCATTAAATGTAGTCATGAAGGGTTTAATAATCAGATGTATTAGATCAGTATTTCTCAACCTTTTTTGTTGTAGAACCCCTTAAATTTAATGTAAAATTGTCAAGGCCCCCTCAATCAAAATTATTAATTATTTATTGTTAATGATATACTAAATTTATATGCACTATTTCACTCAAATAAATTATTAAAATGTAAAGAAAATTAATGTTTTTTAACATATTTTTGAAATGTAATCCTATAGTTGTATAAAACTTAAAAAATATGCATATAGATGCATTAAATATCTAAAATTATACATTTAAAAAAATCATAAATAATATTAAATACTATTCTTGAGCCTTCTTGAACTGCGTATAATGTATGTCTTTGTTAATAATTCATTTTAAAACTGAAACTTTTGAAACTAATTTATTCATTAAATGTACGAGTATCAAAAATATAAGAAAAGAAAAGATAATACAATTTCTACTTTTAATTTTATTTATATTTTTCATTTCGATTTTTTATAGATTCTAATGGAATGTTGTATAATATGTCCGATAAAATAGAATATGCATAAAAATGCCAAATATACAAAAATATGCCAAATATGCATAAACATACAAAATAAGATTTCAAATATTTAACCGTGGTACCTTGAAATGGATTTCTATGTCATCTAGCATTAAATACAGCTTTGCAAGATTGATATGAAAATGTATGAACTTACGAGCCCTGGTTATAATTATTAATGTCACTTACATATTTTCGCATATCATATTTATATCAGGTGTGATATTTGAAACTGAAATATGCAAGCTTGCTTCTAAAGGCTGTTGTGAAATTCATTATCCATGTTTGTTTTTTATAATTTGAAGTTGTAAAAATGCAGTTTCACAAAGATACGCCAATACTGGTTTAGTTGACGCCCACCAACCCGCGTATTGGAAAAGTTAGGCCATTACTTAAATACTATCTTAAAAAAATTCCATTCAAATACTCGTACTAGATTATGAGTTATGGCCACTGACTTTTTAATTAATTAACATACTGTATCATATTATAATCTTTTTGCAAAAATTTTGCATTGATTAGAACCATTTCTGAGGTAAAAGAACCGAAGGATCTGATGAAACGAAATAGTGAGAGGGCAAAAAATTGTACCTAATGGTCTATTTGGCTGAATGCATGAGAAATATTAATGAATTAAATAAATGGTTGATAACATGTGGCATTGTTTTAAAGTTTTAAATTATTTTTTTTACACTTTAACAATGTATTCCATTACCTTGGAAATTACGTTTGTTTGACCAATACTTTTAGAATTTAATTCGATATAATATATTATTACTTTTTGATGAGTAGTGAACGTTTTCAAATTTCGAGAGAATTATCTTGAAGATATTTTTTTTCCAAGTACAGTTCTCCAACATTGAAGCATCATACCACCCATCAAACCCTTCAGACTAACAAAGCAAACCGGACTCAAAGGTAAATTGATGGTAGTTTGAATTCTTATGTCGTATACGCCACGCAAAGGTTTGACGTATAGCAACACAAAAAAGAAGTTTGTTGGTTGTTGAACACTTTAACCGTCAAACAAGCACGTAAAGAAAAACCTATAATTGGCCCGGACGACTACCTACTTAAGTGATAAAGAATACGATCTAACACTGCTTATAGGATAGTCGAAAACAGGTTTTTTAAAAGGCTTACTTTTCTTTAGTAGCTCTAAAGTTATTTTACACTCGAAACAACTGACAAAGAATATGATCTAGCACTGGATTGAGGTTTGAAATACAATATAGTTTTAATACCCTTTTTGTAAATGTACCAACTTTCTCATATACTCGCACAAGTACGCAAAGAAGAAAAATTATTAAATATGAATACCTTTTATAGTTATATTTAAAACCTTTTAATTTAAGGTAACGAAAAATATTTATTGATACAAAAAAAAAAAAAAACAAAAGAATGACTGATTACTTCACTCGTAAATCGGACAGCGTTCCGTCCTCCATATCGATGGCAGTAGAACGAACGAACATCACGTCTTGCAGGGGGCATTTTATTCTATTGCAATCTATCTGGTCAGCATTTCGTGAAGGTGGTATATGTATGTGTATGTGTGCGTTTGCTGACAATATATTAATTGTATCTTTATAATAATAGTTAAATTAAATTAGGTGTTAGTCGATAATACAGCACTTAGCTTAGTGTGACCTAAAATCACGTCAGTTATTCCGATTAGATTTTCGCGTTGAAATTAAAAAACCCTGTTTGTACTGAAAATCTATTGAGGTCAATAAAAAGTTAAGTTTTCTCTGAAAATTAAAAATATTTCATGATGTGTTTAATAGTTATTCATTTATTCATTTATATATTATTAATTCTTCATAAATTCTTTGTTAATTATTTTTGTTTATGTACTTAAAATATATCGTTTAAAAATTTCAATTTATTTTAGTGATAATAAAATTATGTTAATGTATACTTTCAGATAAAAATAAAGGACCTTCAAATTCAAATGATAGACCAAAATCTCATCCTCCTCACTTGAAAAGACGAGAAATTGGTAATATATATATGTTTTGTTTGTTTATATCAAATTATATACATATTTGATTTCAGGTTTATGGCATGCTCGTAAACAAGTATGAGAGAAGATGAAGAAGTGCTGGATATGCTTCGACCTATAGTGAAATCACCTTCTCATTTAAAAGGCCATGAACTAGATCTCTGGCATAAAGAGCAAAATCGAATGTGGCAGAAAACAAAAAAAAAAAAAAAGAACAACAAAAAGAATCAGGTAAATGTGCAATTTTGTTTTAAAAAAAAATGTTAATGTTGAAATTTTAATTATAAATTTGTTTTTTTATAGTTCATCAAATTAAGAATTGATGGAATTGTTTACATAGAAGAAAAATGTAATAAAATAGAAGGAGAAATGCCAATTTCTGATGAAAATATTAAATCTAAGTCTTACACAATGTCAAATTCTAAAGTAGATATTAAAGATTACAATAAGTTCTAATGGCTTATTTTAGGATTTACACATTTTATTAAATATATTTTAATCTTGAAGTTTCAGAGCTCTTAATCTTGAAAGATCTTCAAAGATGAAAATGCTGAGTATATAATGGATAGATATAAAAAACTTGAAGATTCAAATTTTAATTAAAATTTAATTAATTAAATTTATTAAAGTATAAGTAGAATTTTAAAATGTTGTCTTGATATAATATGCATATTATACGATTACGTTTATATGATTAATAATTATATTTTAACGTTCAAAAATCCTTTTGACTATTAGTGTTGTTGGTATTATATACTATAACATATATTAGTTTAATAAATAACTGTACCTCAACTATTTAGAACTTTAAAAGGAAATTGAAATTATTATTCTTCTTCTTTATTTTAATACTATTGTTTATATTTTTAATTCTAATGTCAGAGGTTAAAATATATACTTCTTCGTTATGCACACTTACAAGGATTTTGTCATACTCCCATTTCAAACGTTAACAGTAATGAGTAACACAGTTAAAATAGTTGGTATTTTAAATTTTGCTGATGATACATCTTGGAATTTTAAATATACATAAGATAATTTAATAATAAATGTAAAATTAAAAACAAATGTCATAATATACAGAATAGAATCTCAACACACTTTACATTTTGTATTACACAAAGTGTGTCGTACTGCACACGATTCTAGTCCCAGTAATAGATAGTTGATTATAAATAATAACAATTTTTAATAAATGTGTATCCTTAACAATATTTTGGGCAATTATTGTGGGGGAACAAAGCTGACTATATAACTTAGTGCAGCGGTTCCCAAAGTGTGCGCCGCGGTACCCTGGTAGGCCGCGATGTCTGTACAGAGGCGCCGCACCATCATGAAATAATATATGTTTTGTTATAAAAAAACCTGGATCAAAAAGGGCGCTGTGAGTCGAAAGTTTGGGAAGCACTGACTTAGTGATTATACTATGATAATATTTTTGGGGATTAAAGTATTGTCTAGACCAGCGTTTCTCAATCCTAGAGGGGTCGCGAACACCTTGACTTGGGGTCACGTAGGTCAAAAATAATAAAACGCTGATTTACAAAATGTAATTTCTAATCAAATTTTTACCTAATATAGATGGAGGGGGTGGTCGCGAAGTGATTGACCATATTTTATGGGCGATGCCCGTTTCCACCAAAAGTGTATCATTCCCTTTTCCACCAATATCCGTTTCCACCAAATGAAATATTGACCACGTTTTTACCAAAACAATTGTATACTACGCTTAAATTAAAAGCTATAGCACAGAAATAACTTTATTTAAAATATACTATTAATTCAATAAATGTAAAGGCATTATATAATATATACAATATAGGTTGGAAAATGTTAAATTTTACTAAAAAAAATGGTCAGATATAAAAAAGATGAAAAAAAAATATATTATGATATACGATACCTTAGTTATGTAAATTGTAACTATATATATAATTAGTTGATATTTGTTAACTGATCCAATAAAAAATTTAAAGTTTAGTTAAGTTAGTTTAGTTTAGTTTAGTTTAGTACTAGTGTTTTATTTCCACGTTTACTTTCGATAACTTTAGCCATCACAAAATTACAAATTTTAAAATTTACGTTTTATTTTAACACATACGCAGTTGTAATGCACTCTTTAAACTGTGCCATATTTTCACTTGTTCATAAAGTATTTGATTATTTAGATATTATAATGGTTAATAGACATAAAAGTACATGCATAAGTACGATAATGGCTTAACATACAATTAAATACAATAAATGTACAATATACGAGGGCTATTCAGAAACTAGGGAACGTTTTGTAATAAAACAAAAACTAGGTACAGGAAAAATATTTTATTTTATACATCTGAAAGAGTGACTAAAATGCTACTTTTCTACATAGTCACCAAACAAATTAAGGCACTTATCGTAGCGGTGGACAAGCTTCGAAATTCCTTCGTTATAGAAATCCGCCGCCTGCGATCTCAGCCACTGAGTGACGCACGCCCGGAGCTCGTCGTCATCAAAACGCTGTGTCGCTAGCCAGTTCTTCATCTTCGGGAACAAGTGAAAATCACTCGGTGCTAGGTTGGGACTGTAGAGTCTGATCGGTACTGCCAAACATTGCGCAAGCTTAGAAGAGCAGTGCAAAACAAGCGCCGAGGAAAGTTATCGTTAAAAATTTTGTTTTTTCATGACAATGCCCGACCTCACACGGCAAATCGAACTGCAGAACTTCTTGACTCATTCAAATGGGAGATTTTCCCACATCCACCCTACAGTCCCGACCTAGCTCCGAGTGATTTTCACTTGTTCTCGAAGATGAAGAACTGGCTAGCGACACAGCGTTTTGATGACGACGACGAGCTCCGGGCGTGCGTCACTCAGTGGCTGAGATCGCAGGCGGCGGATTTCTATGACGAAGGAATTTCAAAGTTTGTCCACCGCTACAATAAGTGCCTTAATTTGTTTGGTGACTATGTAGAAAAGTAGCATTTTAGTCACTCTTTCATATGTATATAATAAAATATTTTTCCTGTGCCTAGTTTTTGTTTTATTACAAAACGTTCCCTAGTTTCTGAATAGCCCTCGTACATTGATTATATTGTGTGTATATTTATATATATTTTACATCAATCCGAAAAACTCATGAAAAATGTAGGTATTTTATCCTATTTGGTGGAAAAGGGAAAGGTGTTGGTGAAAACGTGTTACGCCCTATTTTATACCTATTTTGGGGGTCGCGACACTAAAAAGGTTAGAAAGAAATGGTCAAGACACCCTTTTCCCCAAAACCCCAAACAAAATCCAAAATATGTCACTGTAGCTATAAATATTCTTATGCGTATTATTAAATACTCGTAATAACAAATTTTTACAATTTAAAAAAACTGAAATGATTTTTGAAGAATTTTCTTGCACTTAAATATACTAGTACAAAATTATAAATTATTAAAATTGTAATCAATAATTAACTTTTGAAAATGCTTTTAAAGTATATCAGGTAGTAGGGAGTGGTAGGTCTAAATGAAGCCGCCTATTGGTTGACTATTGATAAAATTTATTTTCAACATTTAAAGCATCCCTTAACTAAACAATAATGCAATCATAGAGAATTATTTATATTTTAATACATGTTTTATACTTAGTTTTAATTTTATTACATATGAAATTTAAAAATTAATACTTATTTTTATTGATACATTTTAGCTACTTTAATTTTACAGAAATTTAATTAATTTTGATGTTTATATTACGTATATATTTTATTCATCAAAATTAGCATTCAGTTTAATGAAATTTTAACAATTCAATAAGTGAAATACAACCATAATTTTTTCTAAATTAATTTTCAAATTCACACTTATATAAATTATTTTGAAATTCTATCACAATCCAATTTCAAAAGCATTTTGTATGTTTCTAGGACTTATGTATTAAAATGTATTTTTACATGCAAGAAGTTTTCTTTTTCAATTTTAACCCTTAACCAATATCGTTTATATCACTTTTTCATCGTACCAAAAAATTGTATTTTAGCCAATGGCTTCGGACTAATTATGTTTTTCGGTATCAGTCTCAATCACACATTTTCATGTCATGAAATCTATTAAAAAATTTTCCGGATTATTTATGACTCAAGAACATCTGTTACGTACTTTTTTTTATCTCTTTTCATCATGTAATTATTATGTTTAAATGGATATTTTCAGACTTTGCTTCAGATTAATTTTAGCTTAGGTGATGATTACGATGTCAAATGTAATGTAATAATATTATTTTTATATCTAAAAATTAATTTATAAATATAGATTACAATCCATCACCCGTCTGTCCAATTAGTGATTAGTCAAGTTAACTTAATGTAGAAAACGACAACAAACTAAGTAATTTTTTTTTTATTTTAATGAGTGATTTAAATATTATAAGTTGGTTAAAAGAGATAGATGGTGATAATTTGAGTATTATAATAGGTTAAGATTTTAGACATAAAATTTTTTAATAATTTTACGAATTAAAATATACCTTGAGATGTATAAAATATAGTTTGTAATTTATTAGAAATAAATAATTTATGATCTTGATTTTATTTTATTTTTTGAATTAGTATCTAAGCTAAAAAGAAACTTTTTAGAACTTCGAACCTGAATGTATATAATTATAAAATAAAAATGACTAAAAAAAATTTATAAAAATATATATAAAATATCCATGTAAAATTGTATTATCAAAAAAAATTTAACTAAAAATAATATTTGATGAAAAAAACTATGTCATCAGGGAAGAGAATGATCATTTGAATACTAATAATATGATTTAAAAATGAATAGTATTGAAAAATTAAAATTTTTAATGTTATAAGCAATGACAATATTGGGTCATATATGACTCCATGATACTGGTTACGTAAGTGCAAATAAGTATAACTGTTAAGGGTTAAAATGTATCAACATTATAGCTTTTAGTACTAATCACTATTAATTACCTTATGACGAGGCGCTTGAGAAGCATGGAACGTTTTGAAAATATTCAACACTTCATCACTGGATTGATTGCTGAAAATTCGTTGGAAATAATTGTTGACCCGTTGATCAAGAGTGATGAGCGCCATAATAAATGTTTATGTATGGTCTCAAAATAAAATAAAACAACTTTAAATAGGGTATTAATTATAAGAATCTTATTCAATTTAAATAGTGCCTATAATGTGAATAAATTGTTTGGATAGTAATGACTTTAAAAAAGTGGGGAGATGTTAAATGGTCCGCGTCAAAGCAGAAAGTGTGCTCGAAAAATGTAATCTTTCGGATACTTCAAATCGTTTCCTTGGTTAAATAATAATCATACAGTGTAGTTTTCCGTTAAGCCAACATATTAATTATAATAAAAATTTAAATAATGTTATAACCCAAACCATGTTATCAGTTTTATTTTCAAATAAAGCACGTCGGTGCTATTGGTTACTGGATAGTCATTTCCGAAATCGACGGTTCTCATATGCGATTTTGCTCTCTGAATCCTTTTACGTTATAATTTTACTTTGTTTATAATGCCATTTAAAAAAAAAAAAAAAACTATTTTATTTTATTT